AGACATAGTCAAGCCCACAAAATGACAACAACGTTTACCAAATACATGTTGTTTCATTTGATTTTAAATACCCGGTTAACCCTGATACGATTTCATCTCGGGAATGACAACGACATTTGCCACTGACCGATCCCTCAACTGATTTATTTTCCTTGAATAAAAAAGATTGGAAAATATGTCAGTAGAAAAAGCTGGTGACATCCAAGTACTCTCGGAACCAAAACGTTGGACAGATGACCTCGCGTATTTCGTTACGCAGTCTGTATTTATTTATTAGTAAGTTAATCAGTTGTAAATTGAGGCTAAATGAATTATATTCACTTATTTAATTTCAGAAACACTGTCAAAATAGAGTAAAGATTATTTTTAACATAGTGTGAATTAAAGCGATCAGAGGTTTCAAAAGATGACGATTCCATTTCTTGGTTTTCCTGTCATCATGATGCTTGGTCGGCTAAAAATAAAGCAGTAAAAAATCAAAATAACGACTAGAAATTTTAACTACAAGTCACTTGCACGTGTTCAGCTTCTAAATTTTTCATTTTGATATATTTGAAGCAGAAATAAGCAATTTACTCACTGATTTATTCATATTTTTATTTGGATAAGGTAACTTACGATGCTATAATCTTTGGTAATCGCTACATTGTTGAATCAATAAATTGTTGTAATGTGAGTCGGACGAAGATGAAAATAGAGATTTCCACATAAAACATTTTTGTTTTGGCATACTCAGATAAAAATCTGTCAATGCACAAATCCGCCACCAAAAACTGTCTGTAATAGGGTTACGCAACCACGCTACCCACAAGCGAACTTCATCTTTATTTCGTTCAGAGGTGATTCATACGCGTTAGTTAGCGTATGCATGTTGGATCAGAAATATGATTCTTCAGTAATAGAGAATTCTTATAAATCATGATTAGTGCAATAATTTTCTGCTATTCCGCTTGATTTCACAGGCAAACTACGAACAAATGGTGCGCAATTTTATTCCAACCCCTCCACTACATATCCGTGGGCGTATCAATGCGGTAGCAACAGTCCAATTTAGTCTTTAAAGACAGCTAAATATTTTGAGGATTTTGGATATAACAGATAAGGTTGCCTGGAAGCTTTCAAAAGTTAGCTCTGAATCTTGGGTCCAAGCTAGTTTAAATTACCATGCAGTTTGATCCAGTTAATTTAATTGAATAAAACAAGAAGAATGAAAATGACTAGATTAGATGAACTCATCATACGTTTTTCCAGGATTATTCCAAACTGGCTGCAACCAGACTTAAATAAAAATACTGATTGCCAAAGTATTTCACACATACTTGATTTGAGTTACAATAAAAGTTACTGAAAAGGGCTTCAACAGAAATAGCTCTAGAATGGTGCGAATCGTTCATCTATTGCCAGTTTAATGTGCTCACCACGATGGCTGGACACCCAAAACTTACTGAATGAATTAAGTCTGTACTAACACTAGGGATTCTAGGTATGTAATCAGATGTAGCCTGTTATCCTATAGAAGTATATTGCATTTATCAATAAACAGCGTTTAAGCCGAACTTCATAATCTAAATTTCCAGAAGAATAGTTATGCGTCGAAAATAGAGCACATACATGATTAATAAGGGATTTTCTAGTAGTCTGAACTTCTTTTTCCCACAAAATATAGTCTGTAGTTATGCAAATCAATCCGTTTATTATAAGTTGTTACAATTGAGATGAGGGAGACGACACTTTTCACTTGATTAGTTGCAATGGAATCAGAGGAACCCTATGAAATCTTACTTAGAAAGGATATTCTGCAAGCAGCATTTGATTGCTTTAGTAAATGAATCATTCACTAGTTATTTGCAGAACTGAAATATCTCATAGTTGTTTCTTCATAATCTGTTTCCTCTCCAACCAAAGTAAGTCAAGCAATACTGTGACACGTACACGGGGAACTACAAATTGCATTTCATTGAGAATGAAATTAGAATAACGCAAACTATAAGTAAAATAATAATTATTATTATAAAGGTAAATCTGAAGCAGTTCTCAAAGTAAACTAGCAAACACCCTTGTACCAAACAAATATGCAGGAGGATATAGATGTGTACTTGTTATGCACTGATGAAGCATCCAAATGACATGGATTAGATGCAGAAGTACATTTTTACATAGTACTCGCGTGCCTCAGCCATTGGGATTTCGGCGTTCCAATAAAGTCTACAGCCAATTTGAGGAGGAATATAGATTTTCACAAGTATCTTTACCCCATTTCGGTATTCGTATAAGATTTGTATATCTTTTATTTTAGGATTTAAGAGGAAGTTTAATACTCAAACCCAAACTCATACATTTCCTCGACTGTGTGAACATGGCTGCCAAAACTAAGTTGCTCGAGTTGTTGCTAGAATGATGTAGGAAGTTCAGGGTCTATGTATCATGATTCTTGAAACTCAGCATCAAGACATACTTGCAACGATTACGTGGCAAATAACCCTTTATGGACTAGAACTCACATCACAAAATGCATATATATCAAATTGAAAGAAGCTGGAATTCATGGACTATTGGGTCTGATCCCCATGACCGAATAGTCTATGAGCTCGTCTGGTGATCTAAAGGTGCTCACGCTAGATGCTTATCATTTCTGAGCTATTTTAAGTTTCTTCGTTGTCACTCTGGATAGCATTGACTACATAGAGAAGGCGATGAACATGCACATAAAAAATACATTTTCTGACACGCTAATATCTAGGAAGACCTACGAGTTTTGTCTCTCACTCCTTCCGACATCAGTTGCTTAGTGTCCAGATCGCAAAAATCCTGAACCTATAGATGATTTTAGTGGACTACGCTTAACAAGCAAGACAAAATGCGCAAACCAAACTAGGAACAAAAGAAGACGGAATGGTGATACGACTGCTTATTCCATGAACAAAGTCTGTAAATGAACGTCAATAAATTAACAGTGATACTTCTGATCATATTTCTTCAGTCCTCTCCCAACTGGGATGTGAATAAGAAGGGTAACCATTGTTGTCATCCGCCAAACGGAGACCAGCTCAAATAAACAACAATTCGATGTTCACTAACAACGACACTAGTTGTATCAGGTTCTCATTAAAATCTGAATGCGAAATGTCTAGGTGATATTCGCGAAACTGTAGGGAAATATGTATGCGTCTTGAAACGTTTTTATTCACCGACTGCATACAAGAACTGAATGTTGCTAACATAATTATCATTTCATTCAACTGTGAATCACTTTTAACCAGCCCTCCAATTACAAAAAATGTCTGGTTTGTGTAAAAGTACATTGACAAAAAGCTGTTGAATGCTGGAATGACAGAGGGTATTTGGAAGAAATTCCGTTCAATCATACTCCTAAGTTACAAATTGCTTTCAATAAGACGATTTACAGGAATGTAGATAATACAGGAATGGGACTGCAATATATTCTCCTTTGGTGATAACTGACAGACTATTTCATCGCGAGCTTCGAAAACGCTCTTTTAGTTCGAATGTTAATAGTTTTCCAGTGTAATGAAGTTGAATAAACAGTGCTTTCGTCATTTGAAGCAATCATTATGCACTCAGTCATTTTTTGAGGGTATTTTAGTGCCTTGAACGAAAAGTTTCTAAACTGGACTTCCTATTGAACAAAACGAAATTTAATTTCTTCACATTCAAAACAGACGAATATTTGTATCCTTGAAGCTGTAGAAGCAAAAGTACACCCTTTGAAAGAAATCTTCATTGACAGTGGATACACAAAGGCAATAACTGACACAAACATCAGAGGAAAGTCTTGTAACAAGAAAGAAACCTCAAGTCAGTGTTGATTTTACTATCCAAAACAAGCATGTTATACCACTAACGCGAAATTCCTTTAATTTGCTGTGTTTTCCTTTACTTCTATGAGGATCTGGTGGAAATCTAAGCTTACACCTTTGATGTTTCAGTAGTCAATCACCTTTCACATCATGTAAACCCAATATATTGCGTGTCACCCTGAGACAAATACTGATCTAATTACTTCCGTTTCAGCGTCCGATCAAAGTCCTTGATCACGATAACACTAAACCGCCTCTTCAATCTACCTCCAGTTCCTTCCCCATATTTTAGTGCATTAAACTCTTGGTTGGTATGCATTTTGATTTCCGTATCGCCTATCCATTCGCTTAATTTGAAGTGAATATCTTGTCCGTGAAGTTAGCTATCGATGTGAGTCTACATGAGGTTATCATGGAAAATATCTGTGACGCTAGAAGTGTACGAATTGCTTTAGTAATTATTTGGGGTTCGCACTATTGTGAAAGAGATTGCTTGAAGACCCACTGACAAAATTTAGTTATAATCGTTATATATTGAGTATAAATATCAATATATGCTGTTCTAATTTCCAAAATGATCACCTCTACAGTGTATTGAATAGGAAATAATAGATTTGGATCTAGTTTCACTAAGAAGACGTGAAGATTGCGATAAGTTCTGTGGCTGAAGTTCATTGTTAGACATTCTTGGATCTGGGTAACCGATATTTCCGAACTCAGAAAAACTGATTACACCTCTGTAGTTAAAATCCGCGTCACTTTTTGAGGCACTGAGAAATTTTACCTATGATCTAACATGCCTATAGCAACGTTTTTCAGGGGCAAAATTGATGTCAGTTGCATGTTTCGTCATTGTATGCCTAGTCCACATCCACTTCTACCTGTATATTTGCTTGATAATAAAGTTGTTGTGTGGTTTACTAGCATTATTCCCACCATAGAAATCGTCCTCCTACTTTTAAATATTCGGGGTTCGATCACCTCCTGACGCACAACTGATATCAATTGGTCGGCCTGCAAAATTTGGGCTATCGATATCACATGCTGAAAATGCCATACTTGTACGAGAAACACGGTGTGGAATCAAGCTATCATAAAAAAATAAGTTACACGCACATGGTTGGTTGATTTTCTAACTAAGAGATGGATAAATAGACAATGATGATATATATAAGGCTGATAAATAGAATTCATTCTTTCTTTATTGTTGATCATAATAATAATAATTCTATAACAACAATTATGATGACTATCCTTGTGATTGCGGTTATTATGTTGGTGATCTTAGGATACAATAACTGGGAGAAATGCCATCATTGTTACAACAGCAAACCACTGTCATATAATTCGAATGATGGACGATTATTAAAAGTTAATCAACGAAGATGGAAGCCGAATCCAATTAGTGATTCAACATACAACAAACGAGTAGGTAAAACTGATGTTGATGGTGAATGTTCTAGGTAATTGTATTCACCCTGATCTTGGTGGTAATTACCACGACCATTGTGTTAACTGGTAATTACTAGTAAGTTTTGCAAATTGTCTTCACAGAAGAAAATTCTTTAAATCTTAGTTATCAATTTATATTGACTTTTGCGACAAGAGTCCTGTTCATCGTAATTTTCGGGTATGATTTTGAAATCATTTGTTACCATATTAATGAAATGTATAAACGCATAATTTATAATGTTTATTTATGTATCTATTGTGTGAATGTTGGTTTGAAATCCGTGTTGCTTTTTGACGACATTCAGGATTCACTTGCACACACTTACAGTAGCCGTAATAAAATTCCCTCCTCATTGACATCAACAGGAGAAGATGGACACCTGTTCGCTCAGCCTATATAAATCCAGTTTGGCTACACTTCCATATAATAATAAACAATGACGAAACAATTTCCTAATTCCTCACTAATCATCACTGATTTACTAGGGAAACCAATAGTTTACAAATAACGGTATGTTATCTACCTGATACCATCAGTCGGAGTGAACAAGGCTTCAACTATGGTTTGACATGAGCAGTCTGCAAATTATTCAAGTCAGTCATCTGTTTTTCTACCCAGGTCGACTTGATCTCAACATCCAGTGTCTCAAACGTATGTTCCAATCCACGTTCATATGTAGTTTACTCAGGTTGATCAACTAGAAAGAACTACCAATTAACCTGACAGCTTCACTACTACTCTTGTCAATGATAAGCATATATCCAGAAATACTTTAGGAAGTGCATTTAATTCGATGATGTCTCCAAGCCAACAGAGGTAACACTGACGTATTAATTTGTAATGAATGAATAAATTCTTATCACAAGATAACTACTTCAAATTGCTTCATTTTCATTTCCACCTTTCACTGAATACAGCACCTTGGCCATTATACTTGTCTTCTTCCTTCTCTTCGTCGATGCAACACAGAATAAACCATACCTTGGATTCATTTTCCTATGTTATTATGTAAGTTATATCCATATAAACCTACAATCACTGGTGTGTATATTTAATTAACCTATTTAATCTTACAAATAGGACAGATGGAAGTCACATTTTAGCATACAGGGACATGATGAATAATAGTGATGACGACATTGATAAAACTACTGGGAGTAATAAAGGAGTACTGAATCAAACAGTGGTCATAACCACTAGCTGCAAAACAATGTTTTATGGATGAATAACGCTGAATTCTGTCGCTTTCAGGCTGCACTCTGATTTATTGTTGATCAACCAGAATATGTTACGGGGTTGATTTGCGATTGTAGTGATAGATATCTAAGGTTGTAAACACTGAGTTGGGGTCACAGATAAATCTTGGGGCTACTAGCAACATAAAGGAACCCTGGATGCGGAGACGGATAGGACTGATTGCCTACAAAATTCTCACTTTACGTAAATCATGGAAAAAATGTCCTGTACACCTACTTTTCGCATTATCTTTATGAATGTCCATGAGGATTAGAAATTGGCATGATTATTAAATGCATTTAAAATTCTTGAATTCATTTTCCACTCACATTCTGATTTGTTTTATCATTTCTACTACACAAACATAGGCGATATTTTTAGCTCTTATTTTATACATACTCGCGTTGTATGTAGACATGTATATCGTCGTAATTGTCTGGTTTGTTGGCCCTCTTGTATGCGCTGTCGGGTTGCTTTTGGCATACATAATCAAGACCGATTTGACAAAAACTTTAGACGGTTATTTTGGATTCTTCCTGATGGTGTATTTTACAGGAATAATTCTAGCTGGGATATTTTTCTATCGGCGTCAAGAGGCTGTGAGTAACTTTCTTTTCTGTGTGCGTTTTCATACATCTAATCATTTTGTTATTGAGGATGTCACTACTCAGACTGACTATGTGATAAATGCAGTTATTCATTATATCAGTAAAGAGATATGCGATGATGAGGATCATAAAATCTGACTTCATGGTAGTCATGGCAACTTTCGTGATAGTCGTGGGAGACGAAACCTACTCAAGGAAGACAGTACTCTAACCCAGTCAAATGACCATGCCAACATATTCACCGTCAACACTACTACCAGTTTAGTTAATGAAGAAATACATAGATTTAATTTTCATTATAATGAAGGTTTTTTGCATTATACAATTAATGAAAAGCAAAACGACATTGTCAAGCATTGATTTTTCTCCAGAATGTCTTCGATTAGTTGGAGGGCTTCATGATGAGCTGACATCAGCTAGACAACAACTGAAAACCAGAAAGTACTGGACAGCTGTTTCGTGCTAGTTTGAGACTCTTTTCCGTACTTAACAGTCTCAAACTAGAACGAAACGGCTTTCCAGTACTCTCAGGCTTTCCAAGGGTTCTCGAACTGATGTCAGCTCATGATAAAACCTAACAACCAGTTAAAACTATATTGTTTTACTGACGTTTCACTATTTGATCATGAGGATAGCTTTGTCAAACTATTATGAAACTAGAATTCACAAAATCTCAGCTGATATATAACAACACACGCTGCTTTTCAAATATTATGCAACTGTGAAATCTCACAATCTACACCTGGTTTTGTTACCTTTACCAATTGACCAACCTGACAAAGCAAAAATGAACTCATGGTGAGTAACGATCATTAAGTTGTTACATATAAGCTGAGACTTTGTAAATTCTGGATTTATTACACTTCGATAAAGCCATGAGCATTAAATAGCGGAACGTAAGTAAAAACAATATCGTTTTGTTTTTCATTCATTGGTAAATACAAAAATTTTTTATGGTTTTGAATATCATACACCCAATGCCCAAATTTTTTAAAAGTGTTTCGACATACATAATATAATAAATCTTCCTACTAAAAACCCCGTTTTCTGGATGCGTTTTCGTCAAAACCAAGTTTATTCACTTCCATTACAATCAGGAATTAATTAATAATTTTTATCTTAATATGTTCCATGTTTCATCTTTCTAATCCATAGAATTATTGGTAATGTGAATAGCTTTATGAGTAGTTGCACATATTATATTCACAGTCGTATCGGCCTTTCGACGGATCACTTCAATGTAGTTATACTCAGTATTTATTTGTAAGGACGTTGTATGTTTGAGTAATGGCTGATCACGTCTAGTTGAAAATTAATATTTCTCCGCTGCATTTGTGGACCTGAATTTATTGGTGTGAAGATATCTATCACAAACAAGCGCAACTTACATTTCTACGTAACTCTACTTCATTTGTCTCTAATTTTGATCTTCCTCACAGTACACTGATAGCATATCTTTAATTATTTTCAATTCTAGGAGGGATATCTTCTCATGGGAATTTCATCAATTATACTCCTTATCTCTGTAAGTTGATTATTCAGAGAATTTGCTTCGAAGAATATTTGTAGATTTGCAAACCGAAGGTATTTAGATCGAAATGTGTGATAACATCGTTGTTCCCATAATTTCCTTTCGGTAAACAAGCATTAGTGGATGACATGAGCAGATCGCGTGCATTCATGTCGACTAGAAGTATAAACACTCACTGTTCATCACCGCTGCTTATGCTTTCACTAGGCAGATAAGAGGTTATGACCTGAATATTTTTGATTTCCAAAGGGAATACTAGTGGATATTCTCCAATAATCTACAAACAAGAAATCTGATGTGAAAATGCGGATGACGATCAAAGTGAAAATATTTTGCTTTGAACTTGGATAACCATTTGATGTGTTTTCAAATGTCCCAATGGTAGCAAAACACATTAAGATGTAATAATAGCCGTGATAATAAGTGGCGAGATTAGATTGGTTTGCAGTCAAGAATTTCATAGGTAAAAAATACGTACTAATAGTCAAGTGAAATATATATCAAACAAGCTGTGATTACAACTGTGTCACCGAAAATCAAACAAGCTTCCCACTGGTATTTCAACGACAGAAGATCGCTGCTATAAGTTAATCTTGAATTCATTCAAATGAAATCACACTGGTGAGACACTAATTTATTCTCAGAAGTCTACCACCATTCAAGCGTATAATGAAATATTAAGAAGAGGAATCAACTACTAACAAGCACCAATAATAATAATAAATAAGTCGAAAGACAGTGTAGATGTGTTGGTGCCATAATAAACGTAATACAGAGTAAAGTAGCAATAACTACACAGTCAGCTGAACCATTGAAACAAGCACAAACATTGTAAATATGTTGTTCATGTTGTACTTTTCGATTAATTATTCCACCTTAATGCATATTCTTTTGTAAATGAGGAACTTTTGTGATAACTGCATTATTCTGGTCGATTCACAGTTGGTGAGTCAGGATCTTAGTTGCTTCTCACACTCGTTTGAAGAGTTTTAGATATCTGACGAGTGCAAATATACGTTTAACTCAATAATCAAACTAAACATACACAATGCTTGAAAGCAACAACTGTCATTAAATTTTGCTTGTCGTTAACTGATATTCATTTCTTTCCACTTACAGTTGACAACTATTATTGGACAGATTGTTTTCAAACAAGGTTATCTGAGTCTACGTGATAAGTGGCCGTTGAGTGTGTTACTACTGATTACATTAATCGATGTCATGTGTGCGATGTTACTGTCAGAATACTATTTGATCCAGGTAATACGTGGAGATTTACACACTCCATCAGATGATGACAATAACAAAAATATGTACGAAAACACAAATATTGGAATATTGAAGTAATTCTTAGTGTTTTATTTACATTTGCCATGTGTATATGGATTTTGATATATCCCAGTGTAAATTTAGTGGGATTGATCTGGGGAATGATCTAACAACTGACATTGATAGACTGTAAATTTGTTTAAGTTTGGAATATCTCAATGACGTGTATCGAATATAGTTGTTTTCAAATCGAAGGTACCAATTCGACGTTTATATGAGATTAGCTTGACCACTGAACAAGGAGAATAGAGCCCACTGGTTGGATGATGTGAGGGCTTTCGTGGTGGACTTTTCCATCAGTAACACGAAATAACAGTGGATTGATGTAGTTCTTCAAGTGATTATTCAACATATCTCCATTGATGACAAGAACTGCATAGTTACATATTTATCGGTGAAAAGTTATGTATACTTTGCCAGCACAAATCAAAGTTACATTAAGTAAATCAAAATTTACTTGTCCAAGGGTAGTTGGATATTTCGAATAATTTAGTTGAAAAAGAATAAATGATTTAAAATCATACTATGGATATTTCGTTCGTTCATAGAAACTGTTCATTAAAATTGATGTGTTCAATTCATTCATGCTCTATCTTCATTGTTGAAGTAATCGTTTTGGAGAAGAGTATTCGGTGCATACTGACGTTCAGTAATAATGTACTTTGCGTCAATATCTGACGTTATCAGTCGAAGAATGATCGGAAGACTTGCAGCATTAGTAAGACGTTGTGTCTCAGTTTGGTGGATTCTTGGGTTCTTTGTCAAAACCACTAAGATGAATAAATTCAACATAGTTACGAAATTCTCAGTGGACAAAAAACCAGAGTAAAGATGATCACAAAATCCAGAATATACAATAATGGACAATTCATTTGAGAAATAACACCAACAATGTTATCTGTGGAAGGAATTTCGGTTTCAGAACTCAGCCATTAAATGCACAGATTACTTCATGAAATATCTGGTACTATAACAGATAGAGGAGAGTGTGTCTTTGAATATATCTGACGTGAAAGAGTAAAAATAACATGCAATTATTCACAGAAACTATCCATTCACTCCATCATACGATTTTAAATTCAGTCAAATTCCCCATTGGTGAGTGAAACAAAGTGAAAAGCCCATGTAGTATTCAGATTTAGGCGTAAATTTTTAAAGCGATAAGAAATTATGCAGATTATATGTGAAGTTCAGATAGTAATTCATTCTACATGCAGAAAGGAGATTTGCGGTGAAACCCGTTTGTATTTCTCGGTCAAAATTTCTTATTAGAAAAATAAGAAGTGATTATTGTTTGAGTCACTAGTTGGACCTTATTAGCTGGGATGGGTGAGTCACACCCACTGTGTGAAGACTGATGATGACAGTGAGTTAAAACAAGTGATAGCGTCGGTGGCACAGTGGTTAGGACTCTCGCCGACCGTGCACATGGTCTGAGGCTTGATCCCCTGCCGACGCACACCTGATATCTATGGTTGGCCTGCGAAATTTCGGCTACCGATATCCATGCTGAAAATTCCATACTTTTACCAAAAATACAGTATGGAATCAAGCTGTAATAAAAAATATTAAAGAAAACCTGTGACTTGTTTGCTTAGTCAAATTGGCCACATCTACACAGTTTGATTTAATCGAAATTCATTTGGACCAGCGAAATTGTTTTATATTATACGTAGAGATGTACTCATCGTTTGAGAGTTAATGAACTGCTGGCAGTCGCACATCACCTGAATTCTATTTCTGTTTCATCTCACTTTACGATTCTATACAGGTCACACACGTCACCTCACCAGAAGTGTAGTCCTTGACCTTTATCTTATAGCATGAATGCATTGCCTATCAGTCACTAAGATAAATTCAAATTGTCCATGTATCTCGGCTTCTGTTGTTTGTGATCTACTTGCACTACCAGTCACTGTTATACGAGGGAATTTATTTTCAAGCTATTTGAAGACCATTCTGCAGTGACTCATTTGTCAACGCTTAATGATAATCATAATTTACAAATGTGCATTCACAAATTCACGGATTGTTATATATGTCAGTAAAGAGTACACTTCTGATGACTACTCTTCAGTGTTCTACATCCATTTATGAACAGTGTTTATGAACATTGTTATATTTTAGGATTTACAATCTATTACTAGGATGTTGAATGTGTATATCCAGTAAACACCAGTTCGTGAATAATAATGGATAAACCTATGATTATTATTGTTATTTCGCTGCAGATGTTAAAAGTGAATTTATTTTACTGAAGGAGTGAAGAGAATTAAATTGGCTTTAATACCATGGCTATGTGAAATGTCTATTTTATTTAAATAGGTGATAATTGATTTGGTCACCTAAAGGGAATATAAGTAGGATCATTTAATTGGCTTGAACTCACTTAAGATAGACTTTCAAATGAAGTGTCTGCTGAAGCCGCGTGATCAGAACTAAAAATGTCCTATGTTGTTTTAAATTTTACCTTTTCTGGTTTTCTAGCCAGTCCCAAGCCCACAAAAGAAGGATGGCCTAAGCTAGGAAATTTACCCCGGTAGTCAACGAATATATGGCGTAGAAGTGCTAGGAATCTGTGCGAGCCAGTTGAATAGACATGGACTATCCAAAATATGATTATTCTAAAATCACTTTGAAAACTTTTTGTACTCAGAGTGAAAATAACAAGGCTCTGGTTTATGTAATTTATCTGAAACCTGTAGTGTATTTTAATAACACATTTCGTTCAGGCTTGGCGCACACTTATCTATAATACATATTTACACAGAAGGCAACAGAAAATGAATGATGACAGTTTTTCTCGAATCGTCTGCAGGTTAAGGTCGCAGAATAATTTAATTTTCAAAAATCTATCTCAGAAAAGAGGAGGGATGACGCGAAAGTTAATGGAACATGAGTTAAAGATATTTTTTATATTCATCAAATAAAACTCCACTGAAAAGTATATTCTAGGTTGAGAATTTAGGAATGAAAGTCTGAATTTCCTATACTCTTCTTATGAATGCTGTAGGATACTTGTGGAGGGATGACCTGTATAAAGATCTTCGTGAGACTGGTTATTTTCCTCTATTAATAGGTGCATTATTGAGTGAAGTATAATCTGGCCGTTTCTCAGGCAATTATGTTTAGTACTAGTGGAACTACAGGTTCAAACAGTTGGTATGTGTTCCTGGTGAAAATGCCATAGATGGTAAGCTACCATCTGGGAGATCAAGACTGAATCCTACCCATATTTGGAAAGCTATATTTTATACCTTACACGTGGCTGGGCAAGTCTACGTATTCCTTTTCATGTCTAGACCAGCCCATGTGTCTATTGATATGACATGGCGATCCTCAAAATATATACAGCAGATTTTTAGTGTTGATGTTGGTATTAGCGTGAGGATACTAAATATTTTGTCGCGGAGACGTAAGTGCTACAGCAACTGTCACACTGCGAGGCATTGAGTACCATTCATGACGGGCTTGTCCCTCATTCATTCCTCTAGTAACTAGATCATTCATACTTAATGCACGCCAGTGTGCATGTGTGTGGTTCATATGATGCGTATATATGTGTATCAATTTACTCTTCATGTACATCCTTATATATATGGAAGCAGGTGTAATATTCTCTGAGATGCATATTTGCGAGTATAAATGTGTTAGATGCCGATCTTTACATGAGTGTATATTTATGTGTGATCTCATGGTTTTACATCTGTGCTTTAGACATTCACTAATCTGAAGTCACTATGGAAATCCACTGCACTCAGAATAAGAAAAAGAGATGCATCGAAGCCAATCTGTGCTTGAGAGTCTTGACTGTCGTATCACTAATTACATATCCTGCGGCCTGATGCAGATCATTACTAATTCCTAATTTCAAAAAACACTGAAGATAAGATTTTTGGCCAGCAAGAATAAGCAACAGGTAACTCTGACAGTGCAGCGAACTGGCCAAGAGCAACCGCATCAGCAAATATCCTTAAGTTAGCGAAGATGGATCTGAGAGATGCTTATAAGACCGATGAGTGACATCACACGCCTGACCAACACTCGATTAGATATTTAAAGAGAAATGATGAGTTGGGCGTTGGTCTGAGAAAGGCACGTAAGAAGTCGTTTTAGGGGAAGTCGGAAGCTTCTCAGTAGTCACGAAGTCAGATAAAGAGGACTGCAGTGAACGAATGAAATAGTGACATGCTTTCAAAGCCGTGTATTTCCCTAGGGATTCATGAGTACAAACGAAATGATATGGTCTATGCTGTTCCAAAACCGGAAGCCTGCTAAAATCACTAGGATATGGAAATAATTTTGCAACCCATTAGAATGTATTACACTTACTGCCTTTCATATCGATTCAAACTTACACCTACTGCTATCAGTCGTAATCTACTCTACTCAAGAAAGTTTCAAACAACTGCCAGGAATTATTTTCAAGGAAGGTGAAGCAAAAACTCGTGGAGTGATATGGCACTCTGTGAATGGAACAATATTGTTTTAAATGGTGCACTATCTAGTATAATTATATGACTTGAAGATCTTGAGCATGGAGTAATTACCTTGCAGTAAAATAAGCTGGAAATGCCCTACTGCGATTCAAGTGAAGTCCTCATTATGAAACTGTTATTATTAAAATATATTCAAAACATTAAAAGTTTAATCACTGTTCTCAAAAAATGAATTCGTCTACACAACACTCAGGTTAATCATAGTGTGCTTTTTAATAAAGAATAATTGCTTAACCATTTCTATGATCTAGTTTATTCATAGTGAACTTTGCATTGTTCAAGTGAAGATATTTAAAATTATGGTAATTATTCTACATAAATATTTTGATGAAACAAAAAAATAGAAATTCATTGAAGTAAGTAAGAATCAGGAGTTAATCGTATGTTTAATTTTATTTAACTCACTGAATTTACTCACTTCAAAGTGCAACGATGAGAAACTTTGAACTACACAGTTTCACAGTGAATACTTCGTTTTTTCAGATATTTTCGTTTATCAAAGAACAGACAATAAACATGTCTACATTTAAATGAATAGTTGTGATTCATTATTATTTTAAATTCTGTATTGTTTTTATCACCAATTGTTAGAAGTTGAAACTTGTAAAATAATTTCATCGCATTACTTCAGTAGTATGTACCGCTCTGTCCTTCTTCACGTAAACATTTTGCACATTTGTTGAATATTATGTCAAAACAGGTGTCTGGTACACTAGGGGTTCTCACTAATTCTCTGACTGATGAAATTTATTGTTTTCAACTTATCTGAGTTACGAAATCCTGTCAATTAGGTTAGGTGAGTTTCATCACAAATGGCAATTATGACTCCATAGAACACTGGGTAAAAATTATTACCATTAGTCACTTGTGATCCTGCTGGAACATTGTGTTTTAGCAGCACTTTTCCATTGCATATCATTCTCTGTAATCGCTTTTAACTGACTCCGTGGTTGTCCAGTGTCTACAAGCTTCAATAGCCTCTTCACACTATCCTTTCCATGTCATCTAACGTGTCGTTTAGATTTACACTTGATGGATGGTCTCCTGAGACTGCGTCTGATCCAGTCCTACTTATTTGCACTTATTTTTCACTCGATATGCTCTAGTTTGGATGCATTTTTCCTGTCACCAATTCCT